GTGGAAATAAATAAACCGCGGGGAGGGGGGAGTCTTCTTCCACCCAATAAAAGAAGCAGGCAGGTTGTGGGCAGCACTGCAGCCCCTCGTGGCCTTGAGGGGACCACGGAGAAGATCCTTGGTGGGCTTCCAGCAGCAGCTCAGCCCAGCCTGCAGAGCTGGAGCAGCTGACCCTGCGTGGCAGCAGCGAGGGCCTTGCTTTGCCAAGGTTGACTTTTAGGGGTGGCCTCGGGACAACCTGGAGTTCTAGGGGAGGGAGGAAACTGGTAGTAAAGCCCTTGACCAGTAGAAGAGGTTCTGCCCATCTCCTAGTTCAGCCAAAGGAATTGTGGCTGTCACGAGCCCTCCCTGCTGTGCCCAGGACGTGTGTGGAGGTCAACGGGCCAGAAATCATCTCTTGAGCAGAACCAGCAGAGGCAGAGACATTCAGCAGCTCCCCCCAGGTCTTGGAGAGAGGATTCCCTGAGTTGGTTTGGTTTGGTTTTCTTTTTTTAATTTATGTTGATGAAGTGTTTGTAATAAAGGTGGTTTTGGACAGAACGCCCAGCCTGGCAGCGTGACCTGCCAGCCCTCTTCACTCCTGGGGGCACTTCTGGAGGTGATTTGGTGGTTTTAAAGGTGAGCTGGAGGAGAAACTGGCTGAATTCTCCCTTTCTTCTCCCTTCTGGTTTAGGTTTGGCTTCTAACGGTGCTTTTTCTGCTTTGTTCCTTGCCATGGTTGCAGAGAGCTGCTGCGTGGTGGGTTTGGCTCTAAATGAGAGAGTAAAGCTCATATATAGCTTAGATGTGGCCAAAAATGTCACATCTTAGGTCAAAACCACCTGCTGTGCCCTTCTTCTTGGTGTGTGGTCCCCCATAGCTCCTCCACAGGTCTTGGGCTCCAACACCAAGGAGCAAACCAGGGGTTTGCTGCTTTTCTGACCTGCTGGAGCAGGTTCCTGGTCCCTGGAGCTGCAGAAACCTCCCATGTCCACAGAGGAGCCAGTGGCCCTTCTGCTGATGGGGCTGATTCCCCAAACCCCTCCCAGGCAGCACTCAGCTGAGGTCAGGAAGCAGAACAACAGCATTTTGGCTTCAGAAAAGGTGGTTGTGGTACTTGGAGGCAACCTGCATTCTTCAGTGCACCAGCAGAGAGCTCTGTGGGTCCAGTGCCTGATAGAAGGTGGAACTTAACTCCCAGTTACACCCTTCCCAGTGCCAAGTGACACCCTTGCCAGTGTTTTTTGAGGCTTCTTTAAGGCTGGGGTGGCTTGAAGGGGGATTTGCTTCTCACCAGGGTCCCTAAAACGTCGCAGGGACCATGAATCTGGTGCCTGAACAGGGGGTGAAGGTTTCACAGAAAGGAGCAGCAGAGCTTTGCTCAGATGGGTGCTTCCACCATCCCAGCTGGGTGCCCTAGAGATCCTCTGAGCCTACTGGGTGACAAAGCAGAGCTGCCTCCTGGGGCCACGGGGGTGGTTATGGACAGATCCTGCTCTCCTGCCCTCACCTAAGGCTGCTCAGCTTGGCCCAGCTTTGGCTTCTCCCTCTCAGGGCTTTGTGTGGGGGTTTTTGGGTGTCATTGGGTTTTTTCCCCTTCTTGAAGCAGACAGGTAATCGTCCACAGACCCCAAAATTCCCCCATGGTGTGGATCAGCAGGAGATAATGCTGGTACAAGGGCAAGGTGAGAGGAATTGCACCCCATGTCCAGTGCTCATTCCCACACTCAACATCCCTGAGCTCCTTTGTCCTGTTTATTCCATCTCCATGAGTGTTAAATCAGAGGGGTGCTGGTGTGGGGATGCACAACCTCATCCTGACATGAGCCACAACCTCATCCTGACAGGAGCCACAACCTCATCCTGACAGGAGCCACAACCTCAGAGCTCTCCAGAGGAGAGTGAGGAGATCAGCACAAACCTCTCAGGCTGTGTCAGGATCCCCTGAAGGGAGAAATCCAGGGCTGGAGAGCAGAGTGTGAGCTGCTGGAGCAGGGGGTGGGATGAGGTGATCCCCAGAGGTCCCTCCCAACCCCACCACGCTGGGATTTGGTGAAAACCTCCTGAAAGAGATGGGCAAAACTCATCTGAGCTGTTTGAGGTCCTCCAAATCCAGGGCATCAACAGAAGACTGGAATGTGCTTTCCCATCATCTTGATGGAGTTGGATGGTTTCGGACTCTTGCTGTGATGTTGTTGGAGTCCAAGTCCATAGATTCTGGGAGCTGTAATCCTTTCAGTTAATATAAAAATAAATTACATGCTCTTGAGTGCTTCATTTCAGTTGGAGCTTGGAGAGGGTGGAGCAGCCCCTGCAGATCTGGGGGTCACCAGGGGCTTGGCTCCCCTCCCCACAGGCCTGCAGCAGGTGAGGAGGGACCTTTCAACCACAGAAATCCAGGGGATCCATCACAGCCACGTCCCTGAGCCACTCTGGTGGGGTCCAGGGTCTCTGCTTTGCCCAGTGTGTGTCAGACTGAACCTCCTCCCATCCAGCCCTGCCTGAGCAGGGGGAACACAGGCACCTGCCTGCCCTTGGCAGCTCCAGAGGGAACAGCCTCAAGTTGCCCCAGGGGAGGTTGAGGTTGGATTTTGGGAACAATTTCTTGCCCTGGAGGGCTGTGGAGGCCTGTGCCAGGCTGCCCAGGGCAGTGGTGGAGTCCCCACCCCTGGAGGGGTTTCCAAGCCGTGGAGATGTGGGGTGAGGGACACGGGGCAGTGGGGACCTGGTAGGGCTGGGTTAATATTTGGACTCCAGCATCTCAAAACTCTCTTCCAACCAAAACAATTCTCTTTGTGTCCCACTGTTTTCATGCCCTTTTCCTCCCCTGGGCCAGCCCGTGCCCTTTTTGTTGGCTGCCACCACCTTCACTCAGGAGAGCTCTGAGTCAGCCTCCAAAAAAAAACCCTTTTCACAGTGATTTGGAGAAGAACAATGAAACCCATTCCTCATCCTTCACACCTCTTTATTGCCTCGCTTCCTCCCCCATTCCCCCCAGCCCCGGGGGCTGGTCAGTAGGGGTGCTCCAGGGTGTGCTGCATGATGACCTTCAAGGCCAGCCAGGTCTCCTCAGCCGTGGGGACGATCTGCTTGGCAGGCAGGAGGAACCCATAACGCCCCTTGTCCCTCAGCTCGAAGGTGAAGGAGTATTTGATGCCCTGCTTGTACGTCCAGTCGATGGTCGAGCCGCTGGCTTTGTCTGCAGGGGGGACAAGGAGAAGGTTGAGGAACTTCTGGGGGGGGTTTTGTGGGGTCTTGGTGTGTTTTGGGGGGAGCTGCTGCTGCCCCCACCCCTGTTACTTACAGATGGTGGAGATGATGCTGCCGTACTTGTACCTGGTGCCATACAGAGAGGACAGAGCTGCCACAGCCTTCTCAGAAAGCTCGTCCTGGGAAGGTGCAGAAGGGAGAAAGGTGAGCTGGAGAAGGGCCAAGCCTGTGAGATAGAGCCTGCAGAGCTGCTCCACGGGGAAAAAAGGACCCCAAAGCTCAAGAGCTTCGGCCTGGGGGAGTCCCCAGGGGCTGGCAGAGGAGCCAGGGCTTCTTGCCAGCTTGCCAACGTCCCCTTCGTGGTGCAGGAGGGAGGTTCCTCCTCCTTGGAGAGTGGAAGAGCAGCCTCACACCATCCCAGCCCCCCTCAAACCTCCCTGCCAGCCCTACCAGTTCCTTCTGGTCAGGAGCTGGGGTGCTGGTGTAGCCGTAGGGGTAGAGCAGGAGCTGGGAGTAGCTGTGGATGGAGATGAAAGCCTTGATGTTCCCGTGGTTCTTCACAAAGTCCACGATGGCCTTCACCTCGGGCTCTGAGTTGGGGTAAGGTCCACGGTAGGTCTCCGAGCAGGGGTTTCCACTGGCCCCAGACCCTGTGGAGAAGACACAGTGTGAAGGTTTGGTGGCCGTTGGGTGGCCACAAGGGTAAAGGGCTTTTTCCACCCCTCATCTGGTTGGTGGCCAGTGAGGAAAACTCTTGGGCTTCCTCACAGATGTTTCTATGGTGGCTTTCCCTTGTGGTCCCCACCGTGCTGGTCACTAGGGGACACCAAAACCCTGGTGGAACCCAAACCCACACCTCTGCCACAGGGAGCAAACCCCATCCCTTCCCCCAGGGGACATCAGCAGATCTTTCTGAGCCAGAAATGGCCTCAGAGCCTCCACCTGGAGGGTGGAACCCTCCCCGCAGGGTGAAGGGGAGAGCTCTGACCTCCAAAATCCACGTCCCAGTTGCGGTTGGGGTCCACGCCGACACAAATGGAGCCCGAGTGCTTGGACCTGGTCTTGCGCCACAGGCGATTCTGGGGGGGGGCCACACCCAACTCAGTTGGTGCCCCAGGGCTGGAGCTCCACCAGCCAACGGGGGGGCAGAATCATGGTGATGCCCTCCCCATCCCGTGGCAACACGGACAAGGTTTGGCTTTTCAGGGGGGTCCTCGATGTGCAGCACCCCAACCCTGCCCCCCAGCCCCATCCAGCGTGGCCACAGGACCCAGAGACCCAAAACCTAGGGTGATACCTTGGTGTGGGTGAAGGCAAAGCCATCTGGATTGGTGACAATCTCCAGGAAGATGTCCATCTTGTCCAGGATTGAGGCCAGCCCTTCATCCTTCTCATGATCCAGGACAATCTAGAGAGGTGGGTGGTTTGGGGGGCGCTCGGGCGCCGTCCCCTCTGCGGGGTCAGCCCCGGGGGGGCTTGTGGGGGCCACGGGAGGTGGGCAGGGGGGGAGCTGGTGGTACCTTCTTGGCGAACCAGACGCCGCTGGCCTGGGTGACCCACTCGCGGGAGTGGATGCCGGTGTCCAGCCAGATGGCCGGGCGGTTCGTCCCCCCTTTGCTGAACTGGGAGAGCAGAGATGGGGTGTTGGGGGGCTGGGTTTGTCCCCTGCCCTGCCACCCCCTCCCCACGAACCCCAAAGCCTCACCTTGAGCACGTAGAGGGGCCGGTTCTCCGTCGACCGGCCGATCTCC